CCAGGCGGTGCCGCGGAGGAGGCCGGAGCGCAGCAGCCCCGGGCCCTGGCCTGCAAGGCGGCCGTCGGGGTGCGGGTGAGGGACGTGGGGCGCGGGGCTGGTGCGGGTGCGTGGCATCCCCCCGGTGCGGGGGCAGCACCTGGCTCTGAGACCACCGCCCCGCTCTTCGCTCTGATGGGAGATCTCATTTGTTTCTCCTCTCGGCTTGTTTGGAGATGAGTCACTGGGTTTCAGAGACGTAAAAGAGGGTTGCCTGAGGAACTGAAAGGCACTGGGTTTGTTTTCAAAGGCACTTGGCAGGGTGATTGCGAGCAGGAAAAGGGAAGAGGCTTTGAGTCACCGTAGTCCTCACATTACTCAGTGTGTTTAGCAAGCAGATGCCATCCCTGAGATACAGCTTACATTTCTCAGGAAAAAAGAGATCACTTTCCCCCTGTCGTGCATCGATTTTTAAACGTTTTTTGTTTGAAGGAGCATGGTGAAGGAGGTGAGAAACTCAAACTGCGAGCAGGGTCACTGCTGCCCCTTAACCCAGAGGGGCTCCCGCTGCACCTGCCCGGCAGCTCATTCTCCTTTCTGGAGGTGAAGGATGGAATCTGAAATCGTCCCTGTGGTGCCGCTGTGACGTGCAACGCATACCTGTCCCCGTCTGGCTGCCAGGAGAGGCACCGGCCCGCCAGCCACAAACCTTCCTCCAGCTGTGTGCACCAGATGTTTTCTGACGGGGTATTTTTCTCTTGCAAGATACTGGGTTTTCGAGGGGCGAATGTTTAAGATGGGAACGTACCGACCCTCCAGGGCCATGAGCAGAGCCCCCGGCGCAGGGCAGCCCCGTGCCGCCGCTCTCCCGGAGTCCCCGTGCCACAGCACTCGCCTTCCCCAGTGCCCAGGGCAGAGCACGGGCAGCGGCGCGAGCTGGGACACCTCGGTGTAAAGGGGGAACGTTACCCAGAAACATGAACTTCTGTGGCACTGATGGTGCTTAGAGAATGAATAGTTTGACCTTGGGCCAGAGCATGTTATTTTTTTCATTCCAGATAGCTGCCAAATATAAAAATGTTTCAGTGGCCATATTTTAAATTGGTTATACTAAATAATGTACACTACTAACCCAGCCTTTGGCTGAAGCAAGAAATGATGTTCCTCAGGATCCCCGGGAAGACATGGGTGGGCAACATCCTTCACCCAACCACGTCTGCGGGCTCGCTCCCCGGGCAGTCACAGGGCAAGGCGTCAGGACTGCCATGAAATAAGAATAAAAGCAAAAATCCCCTTCACTATTCTAGCCCAAAGCATTGCCAACACTGCTGCAAAAGTGGACAAATACCATTCTCCTGCCTGCTGTGTCACCGGTATCTCCTGCAGAATCCGGGTTTTATCTGCCCTTTGCCAGACTAGAGGCTGGGTGTCGGGAAGAAGTGCTGGTGTGCCGCAGCCGCCTTCTCTGGGTTGGCAGAACCCCCCCTGAGGGCAGGAGCCGTGCAGGGGTTCGGCTGGAGGACCCCGGGGGGGGGAGGAGAGGCACAGCTTGCTCCGCCCGGCTGCAGGGGGCCCCTGGGCTGCTGTGGACCCCCCTGCCAAGGGGGTGTTTCCCCAGCAGTGCTGAACCTGCACCCAGACAGGGTCCCCCCCACTGTACTGCTGGTGATTGCTGCCAGCCCAATTCTGCAAAAGGTCCTTTATTTTTGGTGAAAACTGGTGACTTCATTTTTTAAAAAGTCTTTCGTGATGTGACAACAATGTGGAAAAAATTCTTTAATTTTCATCAGCTGGAAAGATCACCCCACGCAGGGCATAACTCCGTGCCTGCTTTGCGAAGGAAGGCATTTTCCAGGCTCGATTATCCCCATCTCTTCTCCAGTCTGGCACTTGCTTTTTCCCTCCATCTCACCCCGCTCCGCTGGACAGCGGGCCCTGCCTGGCCACCGCTGGCGAGGAGCCGGTTGCCCACAGGGCCGTGAGTGCAGGTACGTTGGAACATGCATGAAATGTTCTCTGGGTTGTCCCTCTGTCTGGGCACAGCAGAGCACCTCGAAGGGCACGGGATGGCTCCTGGATGGTTCGCAGCATGGCGGGAGGAGCAGCCGGTGCCATCCCGTGCCCATGCCGGTGCCGGTTGGGGCTGTGCTGACCCGCTGTGGGAGCGAGGGGGGAGGCAGCTCCTCCCTGGTGAGGTGCCACAGCAAGGGGCTGGGCGAGTAGGGGGAGGAAAATAAACTTACTGTGTCAGAAATGTGATAAAAATCAGCCAGGAAAAAAAAAAAAAAAGGGGGAAACAAAACCCTCCTGTGCTCGGAGTTAAATTTTACTTATCCTTTAGCTGCAAGGCCCGTCCCACCATGCTCATTGTTTTACTCCGAGCTTCTGCCAAGATCATGGTGTGATCTGTGGCGCTCTGCAGACCAAAACCCGATTGTTTCCAGTATAAGAGGAGATGCGGGTTTCTTTTTTAAATCGACACTCGTTTCAGAAACTCATTCTGCTGCTTTCACAATCCCTTACTTGAAAGCTTCACCTTTCCTGTGGGTGGGTGCTCTTGGCCGCAGCCGGACACCCGACCCGCGCCGCCCTCGCCGGCAGAGCTGGTGTGGCAGGCACAGAAACCAGCTCCGAACTGTGGAAAAAGTCTCTACTGTGAAAAATGAATGTCCCTTGTACACTTTTATTACTTCCCTGTTTTGACAGCAACAGCCTCGCTTTTCCCCTGCAAAGGCTCAAATGCCAGCAAGGGTTTATCGTGACAAACTCCAGTGCCTTTGGACATTTACCAACCTGGTGTTTCTCCAGCTGACTCAGCAAAAAATTGTAGAGCTCTTGCCCACCGACAGTGGGCAGTTTTTCACTGGAGTGAAAAAAACAAACCAGCCAAAATTCTGAGCTGTGAATTGTCCCAAGTGTGTTTGGTGCTGGGACAAAATCCCTTGGAAGAGAGGAACCCCCCGTAAATGTCGATTTTAGAGCAGCGGCTGGCCGCAGGGGTCGGGCCCCACTCTGGCCAGAGCCGGCTGGGAACGCTGGCAGGTCCCTGCAGCACTGTGTCAGGCGGGTGTGCGGGGCCGACGCCTGGGGGGTCTGGAGGGCACCCGGGGTGTTGCTGACGATCGCGCCCCCTGCCCACCCGCGTGGGCTCGGTGCGTGGCCCGGGCCGGGCACAGCGTGGCTGCCTCCCCCTCGCCTGGGCAGCCGGGAGAGGTGCAAGGGTGCCGTCTGGCCGAGGCTCTCCCGGCCCTGTGCCTGCCCCCACTCTGCCAAGGCAGCCCCTCGGGTCCCTTCCCTAGGCCCCGCGTTTGCTGCTTCGCTGGGGAGCCCTGCTCCTTGCCAACGGGCGGGCGCTGTGCTGAGGGCGCTGTGCTGCCCTTGCTCCGCGGGGGTTTCAGCTCCTGCTCTCGGGCTGTGGCCTGCAGATCTTCCTTCCCTCCCTGCGGCTGGAAAGTCACGCACGGGCACCGCTAGCCAACGACAGCATTCTGCTCCGGGCCTTGCCAGACGGTAACCTGAGTGATGCAGGGGATGCTGAGCAAGTGAGAGGACAAACAAGTTGAATTCAGGCAAGTGTCTGAAGCAAGTAGTGCTTTAAGGATGAATGATTGCAGAGAGAAGCAGCCGTTCAGTGAGAACTGTTGTGTGCGGGAATGGAAAAAAATTAAGCAGATTTCTTTAATTGCCAAGCCTAATTCTTAACTCTCCTTTGAGCACAACACATACCGAGCGCCCTGGCGATCTGCTAGAAGAGATTAACGTAACGTGCACCTAAACCACAGGTCACGTGGTGGCTTTCCGGCCTTGTACTTTTTGATTGCAGAGAGACGAGCGCATTTCAGTTTCCTCAGCCATGCCCCAGCGTTTGGCAAAGCTGCTCTGAGTGTCCCTCCTCCAGCATGGCTCTAAGGCGGCTCCTTCAGCAGAACCATAACGCCAACCTGGTAGGGCTCGGGGCCGGCCCTGCCGGCGGGGACGCGGCTCTGCCGATGGACAGCAGGAGGATCCAGCACTTGGCCAACACGGTGGGGACGCTGCCCCGCGGGCACAAGCAGGTACGGGGACCCTCCTGTGCTCCGGGAGCCGACGGCTCCTTCCTGCCCGCGTTTGCAGGGGCGAGCAGAACCGTTTGAGTTTTCCCGAGTGACCCCCCCCGTGTTCACTGCGACTCCTGGTTGCAGGGTGCTAGAAGGATTCCTGCTGGGTGCCTTTAGCCGGTTTGGGGACTGCAGTGAAATCTCTGCAGTGCTGGCAGCCTGGGAAGCTCCTGGGAGGAGCGAGGAAGAGGCATTCTGCCTGCGGGGGCTCGGGCACATGAAGTGCCTCTGCAGCCGAGATCTGCCCCGGCTGTGTTTCTTCCCCGTTCACAGCAGTGCTGGGCGCCAAAGGAGGCTCCTGCTGGCCGGGCGCTCCCTTAAACCGCGGTCACCGCAGTAGAGCCGCCTGGCTGGGCTGCCCTTTGCTCTGCAGTGCCGGCAGAAAGCGCCTACCACGAGTTATCTCCATCCAGATTTTGGAACATTTTGCTAGAACTGTTGGGGCTGGTTGGGCCGTCTCTCTCAGCTGGGCGTTTCCCCCAGAACAGCACATTTCTGTCGTTCGCAACTGGATTCCCACAAAACTCTTGCTGTTGCAGTAAATTGCCAGCTGAGCAATCCCAGCTTGGGTCTATTTGTCTGGCATGAAGAAGCCTAAATAGAAAATGTTTGAGACACATTATAATCTGAAAGTATTATCAGAAGAGTGGTACATAATATCTGTGCACTTAGGGCTTTGCTTTGTTCAGTAACGGAAAGGCACTTAATCCTTTTCTTTGCACAAGTGTGGGGAGATAAAGGGAAGCCAGAGCCAGACTAATCCTGGGAACGCTGCTGCTGGGCGGCATCCAGCTCCCTTTGTGCGGCGGCAGCGGCTGTGACGCGGCTGGGCCGGTTAAAGACGAACTCCAAGACGGGCGCCAGCCCCGAGGACGGCTCTGCGCGGGCCGTGCCGGGTGCTGCAGGGCCCAGCAGCCCGGGCCAGCGCCCACCGTGGGCTCTTTCACCTGTCGTGCTGTTTATTGTGACCCACTTGGCTCTCCCCCCTCTCCCGTAAACGCGTGTGTGTAACGTCGGGTGTTTCTGGGGGCGGTCAGGCTGTGGCATCGTTCTGTACTGCCAAAGGCATTTGGCCATACTGACTGCAAACATCTCAGTGATAAAATCCCTTATTCGTGGTTCATTTTTATGGGAAGGATCAATGTTTAACACTGATCCTGGCTTTTTCCAGAGACCCGCTCAGGCCCAGGCCCACCCAGCCTGCAGCAGGGCTCCTGATGCTCGGTGCCATGACCAGGCATCGCTAGCTCGGCAGTGCTACGCAGCCACCAGAACAAACCAGAGATAAGTGGCTGATTTAGGTGCTTCCTGCCTTTTCTGATGGGCATTAAGCTTATAAACACTCACAGATTTTTAGGGGAAAGGTACGAAAGCAAGGTGAGGTCTTGGCATAGCAGAGACGTGATTTGGGCTCACTAGTCACAGCGTGAGGGGGCCTGACGGCGATCCCTGGCCTCCCGAAGCTTGGAGCCTCACTCGCTTCAGCATTCTGAGGCGTCCCCACTGCCGGAGAGACACCCTGGTGCTGTGTGCCCGTCAGCCCCTCATCCTCCACAGGAGCCCAAGTGCCTGTGCGCCCCGAGGATGGAGCAGCCCAGCCGTAGCTCGTGGCCTGGGGCGGCCACTTGCCCAGCCACAGCCCCAGCTGGCCCCTTGCTCCCCAAGTGTGCCACAACAAAGCCAGGTGATCCACAGAGAGGGAATAGTCCTTCTCTCGTTCAGAAACACAGGGCTGCCATGTAGCTTTGGGTTTTTTTGTAATTATGCAAAAGAAGAGGACTGGGGACACTGCAGGGAGCAGTGGGAGGTCCATCTCCCATGGCCTGTCCATGCAGGGTCTCGTGAGCGGCCGTGCCTCTTGTCTTTCCCACTTCTACTGTCCATAGAAATTACACCTCCAGCAGTTCAGGGAGGAGTTTCCTGTCCCAAGTTCTTTTGCCATCAGAAAATATTCCTTGGGATTCAACCTGAATTTTCCCACGTGCTCTCATGCCTTTTCACAGCAATCTCTATCACGCTCAACAGCACCTCGCTGCCGCGGGCTCTTCCACCGCTACAGGCGTCTCCCAGCCAAGTCACTTCTGGTTCCAGACCTCTATCCCCCTCCGAAGTAGGTGTCTGTGAGTTTAGGACAGCAAATTGTGAAGGTGTCAAATCATCACGCCCATGCAAAATAAGCCTTGTGTTGCTTCTTATATTGGCTGGTGGTAGCTCAGCTCTCAGTCTTAGCTTGTTGCAGGAAAGGTTGGAGAGGTAACAGGTGGCAAATTTTTTCTACTGAAGTTGGAACGGGTACTGCATTGCCATCTTCCAGCAAGGATGCCCAGACGTTTTCTGGAGGTGAACAACTGAAAAATATATATTATGATGTGCTAAGAGTACCCATGTGGTTTTTTATTTTGGAAATATGGAATTTTATATTTAAAAGGTTTGGAAAAATGAAAAAGCTGACCTATAACCAGGGCTTTAGGCTTTTCCAGGGCTTAATTTCCAACATAAGAAGAATAAACGTGAATTCCCTCAACAACAGCCTCTTGTAGGTTAATGCAACCCTTCACACCAGAACGTGTCGCCGTTGCTACTTCACCTTGCAGCAATGCCAGTTAAACGTCCCCCACAGGCATCGATGTCAGACCCGTTACTCTGTAAAATTACTCTCTAGCTCACTTGGAAAGGAACCATAAGGTGGAGGAAGTCTGCTTGGGCAGGAGGGGGCCTCTTCCAAGCCTTGCAGGGAGCAGCCAGCATGCCCAGAGGCTGCTGCCTCTGCCTGGGCCCGGCGGAGCTCCCCGCCAGCATCTCACGGGTGGCTTTGGCTGTGACGGTGCGTTGTCTTGCATCCTGGACCTAGCTGCTCCTCCTCCTCATCTGACAGTTTAAATTCTTATTTGACTGAGGGAGAGGCTGCGTTGGTGCAAGCTGGTGCCGAGTTTTTCTCTAAACTGCTGACTTTAGCCATGTGCCTCAAAGAACCATGAACCTACTGACCCGTTTCCACTCCCATTTCTGGTTCCAGCTTGCCTTAGCCCGATCCAGCTCCCTGGGCGACTCCTCCAGGCCACAAAGGTATGAAGATATTCTTCTCTAATCATTGTTATTTACTTACCCTGCACGAAATGTGTGTCCTGGGAATCTTCCTGTTCAGCAGCCCTCACGGGACAAGGGTGCAAGGCCGGGAGTGGTGCCCGACACCTGGGACATGCAGGTGAAATCGTGACATTCAGTTTGAGTCAGCAAAGAGCAGGCACCACCACTGCAGCGTGGGGGAAGGCGTGCTGACACCCTGCGGGCATGGGGGGGGCGGGGGAGAGCACAACAGTTTTGGTTAGAAATAGAGTGCACAAAGTGTGGCACCCCAGCATCCGTACGGAATTCTGTGTGTTCTCCTTCCAGACACCTCGTTGCTATATTAAAAGAAGATAAAGAGACGTTTGGGTTTGAAATCCAGGTAAGACTTACAGGACACGTCGATTCATTTAGAAATAAAACATGGTGCAAACTCGTAGGTGTAACATCCTCAAAATTAAGACAGCCTGGAGCAGAGAATGGTATCTGTCAGCTCCTCATGAGAGCTGCAGACCTCACAGCACTGATACAGAACTAGGATGCATTTCCAAGGAATTTTTAAATAGCAAAGGTCACAGATGAGAACTTCTGGCCTGCTCACAAGTCAGAGCCTTGAACGTAGGAGAAATCTCATCCAAATCCAAATATGAGGCAATGCCAGTGTCTTCTTACCTCCATAAGTGAACATTTTGGGGCAGAATTGTGTATGAGAATATGTTCATATAAAAAAACGAGAGATAAAAAATTCCCTCTCCAAACATTACCTTATCCTATCATTTTACTACATCCTTTAACATATATAGAGACATATGGAGTTTTGAAGTAAATGTACAGTATTGGTATGGCTCTTAAGAAATAACTACTCAGCATGACTTTTGGGGGGCTAAACCATGTAGAAAGACATTTTGTTAGATGTAGAAGTCAGTAAATCAGCAAAAAAGTGGAAAAAAAATCAGGAAAAGTGGAATCTCACAGCCGTACTGCTAATGGGAGATTATCGTTCTGTAGATTTTTGTGAGAACCGTAACTCTTAGACCTGCTAAAATCCTAAACAAACAAAAGCCAATCCCGAGAGTACAAGGATGGAGTGTTGGGAGCAGCGGGATGTGGCAGCACCGCAGGGCTCGGGCTGACTGGGACCTGCAGGCAGGAGCCCGTTTCGGTGCCCCTGCGGCCCTCCCACACCCCCCCGGTTTCGGTGGCGGCAGCGCTGGGGCATCTTCAAAGGGCTTCCTGTATCTGTGCACAAAGGGAAACTGGTGTTTTCAGTGAAATGGGTCTATGAGGAAAAGCTTAACTTTTTCAAATTTGGTTCTGTGACTAATGAGCGGGTAAGCGTTCAGGTCGTGAACGGTGGCGAGCTTTCAGAAGGGAGGATAATTGAGTCAATTATTGGGCTTTTGTAGAAATCGTCAGGGCAGATTTTCATTATATGTGACGTTCTGATAAAAATAATTGTTCTTGGCACATTTTCTTCCTGAATGTACATTCAGCATGAGCACTTCACTAGAAAGTCCAGGCTATGGAATGGCAGCATCTGTCTGATACCAAGGATAAGCCATTATTTAGAAGCTATAATTTCATTACTACGAGTTAAATTTAGGCAGACCAGAACAAGATGATGTGAAACTCCAGGTCTACCATCTGCAGGGAGCACATGAGAACTACAGTGATGGCCGAACGCCAGAGCTTCTCCCACGCTATTGCTTCTTCTCCTCCTTCCCACTCATGGACCAGAGCCTGGGGTGAGGCGGACGAGTGGTAGCACGCCTGTCCCCTCAGTGCAGCCACCTCAAAGCTAGATGTCCCCTCCCAAACCACGGCCCGACGTCTGCTGCCGTCTGTCAGGAGCAGAAGGTACACGAGAGGGAAGTCCACCCCCAGGTCGGAGTGCTTCTCTTGGGGCCATCAGTCACACGCCGGAGATGTCCACACCTCTGTCCAGATGGCTCCCCTTGGGTGTGACGAGCCCCATCCCCCTTGTCCCGCTTGTCTTGCTCAAGCTGGGCCAGTCTTCCAGGTTAGTGGGTGAGACCTACCCCTCTGCACTAGGTAAAGACAAAACAGGCAAATGTCACCTGCAGTGGCTTGTCCTCCAAGACCCTCGTGCTTCACTTGGCGCTCTTGGTTTAGCCAGAAGTTCTAGTGTTGGTCTAAGGGCTGAAATCACTGCCTTGTGATTTGGCCAGATGATAAGCTCTGAACTCACCTGGTCTTCATCCCTGTTTGTTCTGTGCTGGCTGAGAAATTTGGGAATCTAACATGACTGCTTATATCCGGTTTAGATGTGGCTGCCACAGGTTTTCAGGAAGTTCAGCTTCAGTTTTAAATATCGGTAGGAAGATGTGGCTAAATACTGATATCTGCATGAAAGCAAGAAGACATTTCCTGTCAGTGCAAGATCTGGTCATCACCCACTTTTGCATTTTTCTAAATACGTGTCGGCGCTGATAATCACATGATGGATTTGTACCGAGAATTACTTAATGTATGTTTAAATGTGTACGTCAAGAATTAAAAGCACTTTGGAGGGAGTGTGGGGCCATGTGTGGATAATGAGTTTAAGAGGCCGCAAGAGCCAAAGAAGAGTTCAACTCTTTGCTTTTCAGTTCTCACTGGGAACCAGTTTATCTGTCAGCACCAGCACTCGCTGTGAGTGGGAGTCCAGCACCTGCACAGCCCGGGTCACCCTGCCCTGCTGCGCTGGGAACGTGACATACCCTTCCAGAGAGCGGTCCACATCCCTGCTAACAGATATTCTTGACTGAAGTCACTCAGTTTTTCATAATGCATAACCAACTTGCTTTAAAATTTATTTTTTTTTTCCCAAAACCAACATACATCTGTCAGGTGTCTGCTGTTCTCTATCATAAGAACGCAATTTCTAATTGTTAGGTTATCACATTTTGGTGTTCTCACTTGCATGATACTGTACCCTGCTCATCACAGCCTTTTCATTCAAAAAAACGTGTAGAAAGGCTATTAATTTTAAAAATTGTTTTCGTGCCTTTAATATCGGTAACACTGTGACTTTGGTATGAACAGACAATCAGATTTCCGCACCAAAATGATAACTCCCTGGAGGTATGCACCTGTGTCTGCAAAATTCAAGAAGAAAGTCCTGCCCATCTCTCTGGCCTCCAGATCGGTAACTATTCATGGCTTTTCCTGCTGTGGGTGGCCTCGTCTTGCTTCTCTCCCAATTACTTTTATTGGAGAGCATGTGGAGGGCATGCGTGTGCTGCAGATGCTGACTTTCACCTCTCTGTGTCTCTAACAGGCGATATCCTCTCCGGCATCAACGGCGTGAACACGGATGGGTTTAGTCACAAGCAAATAGTAGACTTGATAAAGTCTTCAGGGAACTATTTAAGGTAGGCATCCCTCCTTCTTAGCTTAATAGTCTCTCCCGCTGGAAGCCAAGAAAGCTTCTCGTGCGACCCTGCGGGCCTGTGCTGTCTCAGGGGCAGAAACCCCCGTGGGTTGGGTTGTGCAGCAGGTGAGGACTCGGGAGGGGGACCGGGGCTCTGGGAAGGGGCACTGGTGTTGACCCTCCTGGCCCTTTTTCTCCTGCTCTTGCCACGCTTTTGCTCATCTTGCACGAGCACCGCTGGTGCTGATTGCAGGCTTGGAGGAGAGGGTTTGGATGGGTGGGTGCTCCCTGTCCCCCACCTGCAGCCGCTCCCCGGGAGCCCTGCGGCACCCTGTGCTGCGCCGCAGGGGGGGTGAGCTGGGGTGAGCTGCGGTGATCTGTGGTGAGCTGCGGTGAGCTGGGGTGAGCTGTGGTGATCTGGGGTGATCTGGGGTGATCTGCAGTGTGATGTGATCTGGTGCAATGCTGCGGCGTGGGGCTCATCAGCCTTGGCAGTGCCCAGCACTCCTCTTCCATTCGGTGCCAACATCTCCCGCTCCTCACAGGTTAGAGACTGTCAACGGGGCCATGTTTCTGCGGAAAATGGAGCTCGAGACCAAGCTGCAGCTACTGAAGGTAATATAATGGGTTCGCTCATCCACTGCTGAACACAGAGGGCTGCTGTGGATTCACTGCTGAGGGGGTGGGTGGGTGTCCTGGCAGGGGGCACACCCCTACGTGTTCCCTGCCACCAGCACCCCCAGACACTGGCCCTCTAATATTTTCCGTGTAGTTTTTTGGCAATACTTTCCCGCACAGTAATTTGAGGTGCCAGCACCCCAGCATGTCTCTCCACTCACCCCACTGTAGCTGCGCAGGGGCCGGGCCTCGGTCAGCCTGAGTGAGGAGTTTTTCCTTACGGCAACTCTGTGCTGAAATCCTCCATGCAGGAGTGTGGCATTTTAAAAAGTGTGTTAAAGCTCAATCTGGTGAGAACAACCCTCCTGCCCAATGGGTTGGGCTTGCCCGGGCTGAGCGGCAGGGGCAGGGTTTGCCCTATGTACCATGCCCAGGGGGAGCGATCTCATGTTTAGTATTTAGCATGTTTAAAACAATGTTCATTTCATTTGGTTCATGCTGCATTTATGAGAGCATGGCACGGGGTGTTGTCATTTGCTGTGTGCCACTGATGCTGTAGATGGAGGAAATGGGGGGCTGGATGGTCCCAAGCTCCCCCGGTCTGTGCTGGCGGGGTGCTGAGGCAGTGCTGGGCTGTGCGGGTTGTGTCTTGGTCACCCTCACTTCGCCTTAGAAGATGGTAGCAGCAAGGAGACCAGGGTGAGAGCTCCGTGAGCTGGGCTTCCCCTCCGAGGCTCATTAAACTGGTGGGGGCTATGGGGTCGCTTTTGGGAACAGCCGGGATGGGTTTAGGCGTCGCTCCCCCGCTGCTGGTGCTCCCTGCGGGGCTGGGGCTGGGGCAAACCCCTGCACCCTGGCGGGGCCCAGCCTGGTGGGATGCGTTGGGAGGCTGGCGTGGGCACAGGGGCCACGTGGTGGGAGCTGGGGCAGTGGATGGGGATGCTGAGACTGCCCAGCCGGCTGGCAGACGTGGCTGGAGAGCTCATCGCTGTGTTAGTGAGAATGCAGCAGCAGGACGCTGCCGTCCCGGGCATGCCCAGTGCCCCTTGGCAGGCCCTTCGCTCTGGTCCCTTAGAAATCCGGAGGAAATAAGCAGTAAAGCCACCAGGAATGGGCTATCGCTCTCCCCCCATGCTTCTTTCCGGGGAAATTATAGCACTGACATCTCAAAATCTGCTGTGAAAGGTTTTGTTTCAAGAGGGGAGGTTTTAGATATCAGCTGTTTCCCAGAAGTGCCAAACCTCTGCAAGGAGCGTTGTTACAGAGTAAAACCCAGGTGTGTGCCCGGCCCTGCGCTCTCACGCCACAGTGGAAAGAACCCAGTTGTGTTTCTGTCTGCGCTGCCTTACGGAGGGGGTGCTCGCGGGGTGCAAACCCCCGTAACCGCAGTGAGACGGCAGCATGCCCGCGGGTGCCCAGCTCTGCGGTTCGGCCGCTGCAGCCAGCGCAGCACCCGTGGGGGGCTCGGCCACGCCGGGGAACGGGCCCCCGCAGCCCTCTGACAGTCCCACAGCCACTGAGAACTGGGAGAAACCAAAGAGGTCGTTGCTCTTCTGGCTGGGGGCGGATGGGGAAAACCTTTGGGCACCTCCTCATCATCTCTTGCATACCATTTCCTGGATTTAGTTGAATTAAAACTTCCAAAACCTACTTTACTCAGCACTGTATAAGCCGACTTCTCTAGTCTAATTGTCCTGAAGAGCTGTCATTGCTCCTGTTCTGCGGGTGAGCCTGTTTTGTGCTGGTTTTTGGGCAGTTTTGGGGAGGCTGGAGCCCGCCGTACCCCCAGTTTGGGGACGGCTGCCCACCCAACCCGCGCCTGCCAGCCCTGAGGCCCCAGCACCCCAACACGTGGTGTCCAAACCCGCTGGGAAGGGGTTCAGCGGGGAGAGCAGCCGGGAAAGGGCTTGTTTCCCAGAGCCCTTGTAGATGGCTGAGCGACCCCCAGGACCCGTTGCCCTGCTGGGGGCTGCTGGGCCTCGGTGGGGTGCTGGGGCTTGCTGTGATGGCTTTCATTTTGTGATTGATCTCTCTGAAATGTGGAAAAGGGAAAAAATGTAGCTGCAGTTTGCCCACAGAGACCAATTCGGGTGTGTAAACGTGTGGTTTGCCAGCCGGTCCAGCTGCAGGTCTGCGGTGCGCCGGGTTCATGCAGTTCACCGGGAAGTGCCTCCACGCAGAGGTTCACCTTCTTGTTGGTTCTTTTTTATCAGCTACTCAGTAGTTTATTTTTACACCAAAAGCTGACCTGCAACAGAGGGAAAGCAAGCTGCTGCTCAGCACTGGCTGGCTGGCAGCTGTAAGGTTGCACGGGGCGGCGTGTCCTCCACGGCCAGCTGCGCCATCCCCAGAATCAGGGGGGGGTGCCCCGATCCTGGCTCGCTCCGGAGCCTCGGGGGGTGGAGGGGGGCGGCCTGCGGGGAGCTGGGGTCCCGCGGCTGGGGGGGGGCAGCCTGCGGGGAGCTGGGCTCCCACGGTTGGCCGGGTGTCAGGCTGCTTCTCTTTAAATCAGGTTTGCACAGTACCTCTGCCGAAGCACCCAAGGCACGTGTGGACTTGTGCTTTCTGCAAGGGATTTGCTAAGCTCGGGGAAAATAGTCTCAGTCAAAAGAGGAACGTACAAACGCTTCCTGTAGGTGACCTGTACTTTCTAGATATGCTGTTTTCTTTACAAGTGTTTCATACTTCTGCGAAAGTGCAGGAGTGACTGAGCCCTGTTTCTCCTCACAGCAAACTCTGCAGCAGAAATGGGTGGAGGTGCGCTCTCTGCTCGTGCGGGAACAGCGCTTGCTGCACGGTACGTCCTCGTTTCCGGGTAGGAAACCGCAGCGCTGCCGAGTCCCCCTGTGGAAACACTCTCTGATCAGTAAAAACTCAATTCTTGAACCTGATTTTCATTTGCTTTCTTTTACCCCTGTTACGAAGGCCTGGGGCTGGCCCTGGGGTAGCTTTTTTTTTCTGGGAGTAATGAATTTGGACGCTGCTTGACTAATGCAGACCGAAGGCTCTTTTGCCTGAGCTCTGGGAAAGGAGTCGATGTGGGTTGCAAAGTTTGTTTCCATTCTTACTTTGGACTTACCGGGGGAGAGTGCTGTTTGTTTGGTTGGTTTAAATGGGTTGCCCGGGGAGCAGCTTTAACCCTGCAGGTGGGGCCGAGAGCGCCCCACAGCTGGGTTGCAGCTCCCCGAGGGGAAGGGGGGCCGTGGCGCTTCCCGCACTCCGGCCTCGGGGTGAGTAACGCTCCCCCTCGCCTTCTGCTTCCAGGGGAGGTGAACGACAACGCTCTGCCGAGCGCGCTGGAGCTGGAGGGGTCCAGCCTGCTTGATGGCAGCGCCACGCCGGGACCCCTCTTCCCGACGCAGCCTCGCTTCCCCAGCGAGAGCAGCTCCCGCAGCCGCCTCAGCTCCATGACCCTGGGCAGCGAGGATAGCTTCTGCCTGAGCGGTGCCTTTGAGGACTCCGCCGCCGAGAGCCTGAGCCGCCAGTCGAGCGTGGACGACGACTGCTTCTTCCCCAGGGACGGGGACGGCGCTGCCGGCAGGTCCTCCCTGCGGAGGAACCGCAGCATCAGCCTGGCCAGCAGCGGCTCCATGTCCCCGCTCTGGGAGGGCGGCAGCCGCACCAGTAGTTTTGGGACCCTCCCGCGGAAGAGCAGGAGATCCAGTGTCCGAAAGCAGCTTTTGAAATTCATTCCAGGCCTTCACTGGGCGGTGGAAGAGGAAGAAAGTCGGGTCTGACATCGCACCGTCATCCCCGACGCGTGGGAGCGCTGCGTGGCCTGGGACGGGGCAGAGCTCGCCCAGAAGCGCGCAGGGTGGCGCGGCGTGGCGTCTTCCAGGCAGCAGTACCGATGATATTTAAAAAGCTTTGGGCTTTTTAATTATTTTAATTTTTAATCAGGGCACACTGTGGACCTCTTCGTTAATGTGAAAAATGACTAACTCTGAAGTGTGAAGGACATTTGCAGAACTTCCTCACCATACTTTAGTGTTAATAACGGTTTTTAATTGAATGCAGAAATGATAGCTATTTATTTCCTGCTACTGAAGTCATAGTCTTCCAAAGGTCTTTAATAAAGCAAGTGCTTCGACTAAACCCACCGACAGTCCCGTTCGACAGAGCCCAGTGTGTGGGACAGAGACAGACCCTGGCAGTAATGTACTGAAATGAAGGGCAGAGATTCCCCCGTGGTTTGCAGCAGGTGATTTACGCGGGTGTGCTGGAGCATAATACTCCAGGGATTTGGAGGAGAAAGGACCCTCCTGAGCACACCCGCAGCCCTCTGCTGTGCTGGTGCAGGGGGAGCCAGCAGAGCCCCGAGCAGCTCCGCGCACCCGGAGCAGGAGGAGCGCGCCCAAGAGCACCGGTGGGATGATCTGAGCTCTTGAAGGCGAGCGAGGTGAGGGCAGAGGGTGTGCGGCAGGGATGAGCAGGGTTGTGCTGCGCCTGGAGGAGGTGACAGGTCGCAGGTCGCGCTCTGCGGACCTCTTCCGAGGGCTGTGCCGGGGACCCTGTCCCTCTGCAGCCCCAGCGCGGCAGGAGGTGCCCCTTGGGCTGGTGTTTCTGCTGCTCGTCCTCAGGCAGATCATCAGCTGCTCCCATTTCTCCAGGAGCAGAGGCTTCAGGCAGTAAGATTAACTTAATGGCTCATATGAAGTGATTTAATAAATACGGCATAGAAGTGAAGAAAAAGAGAAATTTTATCTCCCTCTCACACAGCACAGAAATAGGCCATTTGTTCAGCCCAAGCAGCCTAATTATGTTTTTCAGATACAACTGGAAGAATTTTAAAGATAATTTAAATACCTTGTGTGACTCATTCGTCTTCTGACCGAGCAGACCGTGTGGTTGTTTACCACTCGGATACTACTGTGGCAAGATTTCCTGGTCTTTTCAGAAAGCTCAGGCTGAACCCAATAGCTTCTATCCAAGGTGAACCCCGAATAAAAACAACCCCTTCCCAATACTTCTCTAATTAATAAATGTTGCTAAGCCAGCAGAATCTGTACTGGCATCTGTAATTTCTCTTAAAAGGATTAGGTAGATGGTAATATGGCAAGTCTCCAGGAGAGCAGCTCACGAGGCTTTTACGTACGGGACTGCTGTTGTGTCAGTGCTGCTGAAGCGAGCAGCCGTGCTTGGTTCAGCCTGTGAGCCCCTCTGCCGTCGGCTCAGCCCCAGCCCCGGGCCGGAGGGGGCTCCGGCCTGGCACCCAAACACCACTCGTCAGCCCAGACTGGGGCATTTCGGGTGCTGGTCTGGGCTCTGCAGCTCGTGGCTAGACATCGAGTGTTTTGCCTGTGATTTGCTGTCTCAAGACAGAGCTTTGCTGTTCTTTGCCAGTAACACCAGCTGAGAGGAGAACAAAAGGTAGAGAAGGTTTCTGTTTGGACAAACGGTGGGGTTAAAGCCAGATACATGGGTGTGGAAGCAACTGTGCACAATAACCAGAACATCTGGTGAAGCTTGTCGTAGTGCCCCGTGGAGAACAGACAGCTCAGCACTTAGGAAGGGACCTTGAACTCCGTCCCACGGTGCGATTCAGACGCTTGGCTCCAGGTTTCAGGCTGGCAGCCGAGGGCCGAGCGCTGGCCATCGCCTGCAGAAACACGTGGAGGTCTCCAGCCGGGCTGGCTCTGGCTGCGCATGGCTGCGGTGCCTTGCTCCGCACGGGCGGGCGCGCTCCTCTCCATCCGCCCAGGGAACGTTTGGCCCCACGACTGTTGCATGTGTTTGTGTCAGAAAGCAAAATATCCCTGACCTGGTGCTAACCTGAGCGGGAGGTTGAAGCTTTGCCCACCGGTGCTACGGGCTCGTTCCCTTGGGTGACAGTCGGTGTAAGCCCAAAGCCAGGCCAGAGCCCTTTGCCTTGGAGAGCGTGGGCTGACTGATCTGCAGAGACAACAAAAACGCGTCTGCCTGGCCAGGACCTGCTTCACTTCCCCCACAGTTCCTTAGAAACAAGCACTGAATTAAAGCCTGCTTTTGCCTCCATTGCAGCTGCTGTATAGAGACCCCCTGGCCCGGACAGGGAGCCTTGGTGACGGCCCAGATCCTCTGCCTTGTTTTATAGAGGGGAAAAAAAAAGGGTATTTAAAACACTGTATAAACTCTAGCCCCTAAGGCTGTCTCTGGTGGGAATTAGTGCAGCTTTACAGTCCGAAGCAGGGATTCCTTTTGGTATGGAAAGTTAATTCGACTTACCTTCAAGATACGTGCTTGCCTTTAGTGTGGAAAGGCTGAATGAGCCCGAGCACCCAACAAGCTTAAGAAAAGTCTTAAGAAAGACCAAAACACTGTGCTCTTCCATCAGTGGCGAGCACATGCTTTGGTTGCTACAAGAGGAGGACGTGACACGTTCAGCAAAAACAGGATGTGGGTGACGGGCGCTGCGGGGCCGCTGCAGCGGGCGGGCGGCGACATCAGCAGGGCCCCAATCTTCCAAGGGGAGAAGGGGCTCACAGCCAAACCAAATGGCTCCGAGAGCAAACCAGAGGAGAAATCTCTTTTAAAATGGCATTTCTCCTTGCAGAGAGAAGTCTGGAAGGATCAGGAGCTGGGCGGGAGGGCGTAAGGGCAACGCTGCATGGCGCCGCCGCGGTCCCCGGGGCTGAGGCTCCGAGCAGCGTGTGTGGAAGGTGCTCTGACCCTCGGCACGGGGGTTCTCACGATCTCCTAACAGCCAGGGAATTACCTTTTCTCAGGGCCTCGGGGTAAAGAAGGCAATGCGAGTTTAGTGCAGAGAGAAGCGTGGCTGCTCTGAAGAGTGCGGTTCCATTTTAAACTCAAAACTTCAACTCATTTGCCGAATGCCGCTGAACCAGACCTTGTAAGGGTTCTGAGCCACGGAACCGGGTCCTGCCCAGTGCTCAGCTCTAGGCAGCCCCTCCCTGAACTCAAGACCCTGCATCAAACACTGGGCCCCTGCAAGGCCTAGAGGTGCCTCTGCTGCTGCCCCGAGACCCGTTCACCTCCTTCGTGCTGGCTTGCAGCTCTCTAGCCAGCCTTGCCCTTTTTTATGACCTTTGTGGTATCTCAGGTTTTTGGTCTTTTGGTTGGTTTTGTTTTTGTTTTTGTTTTTTTTTTCCTGGGCTCTCTTGGCCTGTAATTTCTACTGCAGAAGCTGGGTTTTTTTTCCCACAAAACCATGAAACAGGTTGTGGCTTCTGCTGGGAACGTTTCAAATCCAGTGGAAAATCATTCTGGTTCCAAGGCCGTACCATGCTGCGAAACCTCTCTCCTCGCAGGTTAAAGGTGCAGCCCTGGGAGCTGCTGGAACGCGTGAGGAGTTGCCGCGTTTCTCTGCCTGGCCCGGTCCCAGTTGGCTCCGCCGGGCCGCGCAGCGCCGCTCTGCAGGCAGGGCTCTGTGCCCACCCTCCCGCGGGCATCTCCGCTCCGCCGCCTCCTGCTCTCGCGCCCGGCGGGTCCTTTCTCACGCAGCTGTTTCAGGCGTTTTCATGCGTAGCAGCTGGTGGCACCCAGCTTCTGTGGAACGGAGCAGAAGCTCACAGGACGTGGCTCTGGCGGCCGGGCGGGCCGGGAGCGTGGCGGTGCGGGTGGCGGTGCGGGGGAGCCGCCGGGGGTGCAACCCGAACGCTCTGGAACTTCGGCTCCTTCAGCACAGGCTTGGTCTTTTTTTTTTTTTTTTTTTTTTAAGAAAGCTTAAAAAGGCAGAAATCACACCTCTTCGGGTTTGTGCAAACGAAATGTTTTCCTGCCCTTGAGAGGTGGTTTTGCCCAGCTCTGTTTATAAACAGCTGCCTGCGGTGGGAGGAACCCGCAGCCACTTTTTCCTTTTCCCAAGTCCAGCTATGAACCCTCCCGGCTTAGAAACACCGCGGGGGATGCTGCAGTGCCCGAGCAGCTCCCAAGCTCTCAGTGCCGTGACGGTCGGGGGTGACAAGCAGCCCCCCGGCTCCTGGGGTCAGTCTGGGGAGAACAACCCGCGTGGGCAGACGCCCTCAGAGAGGCAGGAGCTGCTCCCCCCACCAGCGATCCCCGCGGGCTCCTTGCGGGGTGTTTCCATGAAGACAGCCCCAGCTGACTATTTTTAGCACTGTCAGAACGTTCATGACTCTGCATGTGCCCACGGTTTGTAACTCGCGTGCCCCTGCTGCATCCCTCTGGCACGTATTCCTGTTTTCAGAGCAAACACGCTGCTCCTCCGGCAGGTCCCCTCTGAAGCCCGGCGTGGCCAGCACCAGCATCACTCATCGGGCCAGCAGCACCCCGGCCCGGGGCTGCGCAAGGGCTGGCTGGCGCCCGATGCGGCTCTGCTGGGGGGATGCCCAGGTTTCTGCTTTTCCTTCATTCCCCCTCGGCGTGAAAAGTTAAAATTTTGAAATTTTCTATAGAAGAGGAATCCCAAGGTATGATTTTTCATAACCATAAGGTGTTTATCTTGCTGATAAAATGGAAATGCCTGACTGTGGTTTGTTGACGTGACCCACAGGACATTTTCTCTGGGTGTTCAAGTGAAGTGTAATCCCTCCTGGCTTCCTGGTGGGAGCATTTGCATCCAGGTCCACCATGCCTGTCACCCTGCCCTGGCTTTTGGGTGGCATTGCATCTCCCATGGTGACCCAGGGTTCTGCTCCAGGGCGGCTCCAGTGCCTGTGTGCCGTGCCTGTTGTCCCCCCGAGCAGCCGGGTCTGTGCAGGAGCTGCTCCTGGAAACCTGTGACCGGAGCAGAAACTGCGGGGCTGAGCGTTAACGGCAGAAGAGCGTACAGAGCTCTGCAGTAACGCCCTGCAAACACCCTGCGAACGCTTTGCCTTGGTGGCCTCTTCCTACTTCTGGAGTGACCTGGAATTGCTGTGGCTCTAATGATTTACTTCACCAACTTTCAGATCCGTGTTGTGCCCCAACGCCTCTGAGATCCCAGCTGCTATTTCTGAAATTTTAGCAGAGGATAGATATCTCGAACCGAAACTTCCTGTGTTAAAGGTCACATGGAAAATGATTTATAATAGATTCATGCAAATCGCACTTCGACCACGAGGTGCTCGTTTGTGAAAATGTGAGTTGTCGAGAGCTGGCTGTGTAACCAACAGACGGCATCAGGAAATTCCTAAAAGTGTCAATATCTTTGTGCCATCAAGAAGGCAGGCTGGCAGGTTCCTGGGGAGGTGGGGGCAGGACCTGTCCCCGTCCCTGTCCCCGTCCCCGCGGGAGCCGGTGTGGCTCCCGGCTCAGCAGGGCTCCCCGCTTCCCCAGCCTGGTGCTGTGTTTTCAGCTTCGGGTTATTTCAGCTTTGAAGCCTGGCTGGGAGTTTGCCCCCACGCCCAAGCCCCGGTGCAGGATTCGTGCTGGCTGTGCCGGGCAGGGTGCGGTGCCCATCCCAGCGTGGCCACGGCCCCTCACTGCATCCCTGCTCTGCCCTCGCACCCGCCCCCGGGCCAGTGATGAGCCGGGGCTGGAGAGACACCCCCATGGCTCCCCTGCCCAGGGGGATGCCAGCTTGGTAAGAACAGAAAATAACCTTCTCCTCTGCAGCCACAGCCAGGTCCTCCTCCCGAGGGCACCTACCACTGAGTGTCGTCAACCCACTTTCAGACCTCGTCATCCATTTTTCTTGGATGAACTTTTCCAGCATGGGATTGAGTTTATAAATCAGTTATACCAAACGCATTTTCCTAACAGTGACGAAAAGTTGTTGATTTAAAGATGCAAACTCACAGACAAAAAACAACAGTGGAAAGGCTTTGGGTCCATTTCTAATCAAGGTCTGAACTCGACAAGAGGATTTTCAAACCCTAAAGCCCAAAGGTGTCAAAAATGTTGTATTGTACAAACACAAGAAGTCATTCACAGCAGGAGATTACACTCTTGCGTAAACCTGGCTTTGGGCGCAGGGTTGAGTTCAGCTGCGGTCAGAAAATGCCCCGGTGCTGCTTCACTCTGCAAAATGTTCCCCCCTTGCTCCTGCTCACTTTAGGTCTGACTGACTATGACTGATGTAAGTGCTGATCTCATCCCTTGACCCTTTGACATTCCTTTAAAGAGCGTTTCCACTGCTGGGGCCAGAAGCTGCTTCTGCGGCTGGGGGTGGTGCTGCCCTGCCTGGGCGCCGGGGGGGCTCCCGCGGGGGCGCCAGCAGGCAGCAAGTGTCCCGCTCAGCCTCGGGGACCTGCCGCCTCGGTTCACATCCCCCCACAAAACCTCCCTTTGCCTTCTGATTTGGTTTTCATCTGCTAGTTCCGTCCCTGAGGGCCCAGCCCTGGCGATGCGTCGCGCTGAGCGGGAGGCGGCAGGTGCTCAGCACCCAGCGGGACGCGGCCCTGCCCGTGTGTCCGGGCTGAGGCTGCGCCGCGGAGGAGCGCGGCGTTGTGCCGTGTGCGGGGCATGTGCCCTTCCCACCGGCCCCTCGGTTCCCCGACAAGTGCAAAATGCGCTCATTGTCCGGCCGGCGGCACGGCGAGGTTTATCGGCGCGCAAACCCGATGGGGAATGTTAAGCGGGTTAGGTGGGAGCAGCGCGACGGAAGGTGGTCACCCTCCGGGGATTAGGGGTCGGAACAATCGTCGTCCCTGTGACCAGGCCGAGACACAAAGGGCCATTGTGCCGGGAGGACAAAATCTCTGTTTATTACCCGGGGCTGACATGCTGAAAGACCCGCTCTCCATGCCAGCACAAAAGCTGCCTTGCTTCAGATTGTTTGTTTATGTAAATTTAAATGGTGCATTTAATTATGCAACTGGACGAGCCTCAGCAGCAAGCGAGGTGCTGATTGGAGCGCCCCGTGGCCAGAGCCCGCTGGCAAGCCCTCGGCACATCTGACGGGGCGGCTGTGGACCCTGCTCTGCCGCAGCGCCCGCGGGAGAGGAGACGCGCCTTGACCATCTGCGCGGAGGAACAAAACCCCCCGGGGGGAGAAGGGGTGAGGAGTCGCCTCCCCGCCCCGGGGTGCAGGAGCGGGGCCCCCCGAGGTCCGCGGCCCCGGTCGGCGGGCACGGCACGGCCCGGCCCTCAGCATGACAGAAGAAGTCCCAGTGGCGTCCGGCATGCCCGAGTGCAACGGGAGCGTCGCCCCGGAGAAGGGCCCACTCCAGGTCATCGGTGTCATCGATGAAATAGCAAAATCTGTCGGGACGGTTCCTTACACAAATGCAGAAACGAGCCCCGATGCTCCACCTGCAGAAGGAAATCAGGAGGAAAATAGAAATTCATTGGCAGAGGACACAGCTTGCGGGGGTTCTGATGGAGAGAAGCAATGCGAAGGTAAAGTACAAGACTGCTTGTCTTTAAGTGTTGGGAAAGAAAAGCTTTTTTATATGGATGGCCTTATGAATAATGGGATGTGTTGTGTGTGTCAGTCAACATTCCTAACGTCTGGTAGTTGTGACAATGACTCAGAGTAATTCAGAGTTAGGGACAAATTTGAGCTAGCAGTCACACAGGAGGCAATAAAAAGTATGTAACTAAATAAACAAGCTATTTTTTTAATCTGCTCTAAAAATCTACTGCCAATCTAAAACCCAGTTATCGTCACTAACTGCTCCATCAGTCCATTTCTTGTGCTTTGTATTTCCTAAAGAAAAGCAAGAGGCAAACGATGGGACACTACAGCAGGGATCGGCTGATCTCCAGGACACGGGGACTGACGGCCGGGAATCAGAGGAAGGTAAATGCTGTGTGACAGGGGGTTTTCCCAAAGCATAGCAAGGAGTAGCCTTCAGAGATAATGACATACAGGTGGTATTTTTTTTAAATTTGGTCAGACCCTTATGTTCTGGAGAGCAGTGGCTCATTTCTCATCAGTAGAGTTGCTGCCCCTTAGAAAACACGGCTGGCGTCTTTGTTCCTGAGGTTTGTGTGTGTCTCCGTGACCACGGAGGGGTCTTTGGCCAGGAGATCTCCCACAGCCTGGTGAGGCTGGGAGCTGCTTTATCTTTATCTTTACCGTGCAGAGGAGTCCAGGGGACAACCTTGGGAGGCTGTCTGTCAAAAATGTGTGGCCTTAAAACTCAAATCTTTTCCTGCCTGATTCAGCAAGTGCCTAAAGCCCCCTGACACACAAGCATCGAGCAGAAAATTGCTCGCCTAAGCATCCGCTCCTGGGTCTCTCTCCTCATTCCTAGGTGAAAATGGTAAAAACGGTCAGATGGAGCCAGGGCTGGGGCTCACACCAGTCTCCTGCACTCTCCTCACTGTCTGGCCCTGGCAGCAAGTTAAAATGTGTTGAATATATATATATATATATATATATATACACATATAGATGAATGTATTTAATGATACTGTGCAGAATGCAGCCACTCCTCCAAAAACGAGGGGGGTTTACTGAGTATTATTAAAGGAGGAGAGCTATGTCTCGCCACAGGCAGGCTTTCAGCCCCGCTGCCCTTCCCCGTTTCCCACCCTGGGCTCTGCCCCGCTCCTGGGGCGTCCCTCCTGTCCTTCGCACGGCCACCGGCTGCAGTAAGCCCGTATTTCCTATGTGTCAGCTGCCACTTGAACACGAAACCCCAGCCTGGAGAAGAGCAGATTAACAACCAGAGTAACTGTGGCAGGCCTGGCAAAGCTGGAGTCACCGTGCGTAGCTCCGAGAGGTGCATGGGCTGTGCCTTGTAAACAGAAACTTCGCTTCGATTAAGAGAAGGAACAAATACATGAACGTTTGTCACGGGCAAAATAACATTTCAGAGCAGCTGCAGAGGCTGCGAGGAGGTGAATCATGGTGGAGGCTTTCCCACTTGGAGCTGACAGCCGCATTCCAGCTGTGTCGCTTTATGAGTGCACAATAAAACCTATTAAATGATCTCGCACAGCACCCCCGCCCCGCACTGCCCCCCCAGCCACCAGCACTTTATCTCTGAATTGCAGGCAGCTTTTTAGTACCTTACCGATTTAGTCTAATTAATAGTCAGGGCCCCACAGGCAAAATGCTGAATAGACCATTTGTTGCGGGCTAAAGCATCATTTAACCCCGAGATGTGCCAGGCAGGAGGAACAGGAGATGCCCATCTCAGGCCGGCGGGTGCCCGGGGGGCTGTGCTGGGTCCCCTCCATCCCCTCCCTCCCCACCCGGCCCGGTGGGCAGAGCCGGCACCCAGCACCGAGTCGTGGGGGGACGGGACCCTCCTGTGCCCCCGCAGCCGCTCCAGAACGGGGAGTTTGGCTTCGCTGAGTCCATCGGCTGCCCGAGGCGGTCAGGGAGCTTTGGGAAAGGGCTTTGAAGGCCCCGCGGAGGGGCCGAGCACCGGGCTGGATGCCAGAGGGCAGGAGCTGGTTGGGTGCCTCTGGTCCCGGGGGGCTCCGCTGCCCTTCCCTCCTCGAGGCTCGACCACTGGCACCTCCTTTCAAAGGAGGGAAGGGGGGGCTCGGTGGGAAAGGTGGTACATGAAAGAACACGAGGGCAGGTTGCTGTAAGCGGCAAGTTTGAGCCTGCTGGTGCCTTTCTAAAGAACCTGCGAGCGTCCGTGTGGTGGGGTTCAGCCTGGAGATGTGGGGCACCCTCCCAGGCCGTCTCTGGAGCTTGGGTGCTGTGGTGGCAGGAGCTGGCAGGGCCCTGGGAGCGATGCTACGCCCAGGGCACGTGTGTCGGGGGCGTGAGGGCGGCATGGAGCCCGTCCTCGCCCGCGCTCCCGCTGTGTTGCTGCAGGTCCGGGCAGCCAGGGGCCGTCTGTGGGCAGCGGGGACCTGGGGAACACGGCGGAGACCCCCGCAGCCAGCGCTGACGGGACCGGAGTGAGCGCGGCCGAGGAGGAGGACGAGGAGGCGGAGGAGGAGGAGGAGGAGGAAGAGGAGGAGGAGGACACAGAAGAGGATGAAGTTCAGGTGATCGAAATCAAGAAGGAGAACAGCGAGGTGTCCTGTCTAAAGCAGCAAGACGGCGGCAAGGGGGCATCTGCCCTGGCCAGCCCCGGCTGCAATGCCCAGGTGGAGAAACCGGGGGAGCAGCCCAGCCCGGGGAAAAAAAATGATATCTCCAGACACAGCTATTCCAGGTACAACACAATCTCCTACCGCAGGATTAGAAAAGGAAACACCAAACAGCGAATCGATGAATTTGAATCCATGATGCACTTATAAACTGAGGTGGAGAATTGCTTAACAAGCCGAGTGTTCACTCTGGTTTTTGTTCTTCTTTTTGTTTCCCCCAAGACATGTCTCTTCACACCACATGAGGTCACTGCTTTTTCCTTTTTGTATATGATTTCATAATACACTGTGAAATTTTAACATCTTCGCTTTGACAGCAGGCAGCGGCATCCATAGCGCAGGAAAATAAATAATCAGTTTGCTAAATATAACACCATTTGATTTAAAGTTTATCCTCTTATTTTCTATCCAACTTTTGTAACCATATTGGAACAATGGGATGTCTTGAACTGGCTGGGGTTTTCTCTAGCTGCCGCCGCACACGTGGGCCATGCTGTCAGCCATGCTGGTAATGAGTTGGCAGCGCAGCAGCTCGGTGACGCTGCCCAGGGCAGCGTGAGGAATAAAAGAGATGACTGTTTGCAAGCGCAGCATGCTCGGTGCTCGGTGCTCGGTGTCGCTGTCCGTCAGCGCCGGCGTCTCAGGGCGCCCCGATGGCCTCCTGCAACCGACCGGCCGCCTCGCCTTGTGCTGGTGGGACCAAGGCCTGTTTGCATTTGTAGGTGGAGGCCGATGTGCAGGAATCAGACAAGATGAGAAGGCAGCAGGGCCCTGACGCCTCTCGGGGTAGCCGGCTTCCTTGCCTTGATCCGGCGGTCAGCACCAGGCAGGATCGGCACCATCCGCCAGCCCCTGCCCGCGGTGGGGGCAGCGTGGACGTCTTTAGGTGTGACATCACCTGCCTGCCCGCTCCGCTGCCTGTTCTGGGCTGTAGTGTGAAACCAGGGGTGCAGGCAGCCCAAACCGCTGCTGGGACAAAGCAGCTCCTCTTCCTCATGGCCCTCCCTCCCCCAGCCACGGTGCCCAACTCACCAGCCCAGGGGGTGCTACCAGTGGCTGGTGCCATCCGCGGTGGCACAGCCGGGGTCTGGGCTTATACACCGCGTGTGCCGCGCATGGCACGTGCCCCCGTGTGCTTCGGTGCTCGCCTGCAAAACCGGCCGCTACCAGAAACCCGGATTTTCAGAATGCCACCAGTTTAGACTTACATGTCTTTTCCATTTTCATGTTTAGACACAAAATTTTAAAGCTTTTTTTGTCAAAGGCAAGTTTTAGGCATAATTTGGTTTTGTGTCATCCGAACACAACCTTTCTCCATTTTTAAAAACCTTTGTGTAACTACAGGACTTTTTTAGTCTTTTAAAAACTATTTTACAGGCAGATTTGTCTTGAGTTGGGACTAAGCTTTGTAAATGTAATCCCAGAAAGCATCTGGGAAGGTTGAGAGCAGCTGACAAAGGGAGAGGAGGAAAGAACAAAGTTAGACTCTGAGTTCAGCTGCAGCGGCCTCCTTCCACCCTAAGTGCTTTTTTAAGGATTAGTTTTACATCTCCAGCAGCACTGAGTATCATTTTGACTTTTCTTGTCCTACATAAAGGCAATTATTTATTGGCAACATGAAAATAATAAACGGCGATTCTGCATTGTACAAACCAGACACAGCCCGCATTGTGCTATTCAGACTTGTTTATTCGCTCTTTGGCTTGTGGAAGTTCAGAGGTTTGCTTGTATGAACTTATACTGCGGGTTTGTTTGCCTGCTGACAGCTGCCCCCCATCGCTCCTCTCGCAGCGGTTCCTGGAAGAGCAGCACTTTTACAGCCATGACCATTCCCTGGGGTTGCGGGTGGCAAAGGGCTGCTCCGAGCTGAGCAGCCACAGCTTCAAGCATCCGCACCCCTGCCGAGGTGGGGCCGGAGCCCCCCGCCTCCCCGACACCCCGACAGGGCGATTTGCCCTTCACAATGTCAAGAACAAATTTGCTTTACTGCGATAAAAAAATGCAGTAGGGAAGAAAACAGCAAAACCCCAAAGTGAAATAAAAATCAGACCTCAAACAAGCAACCTGTGCGTTGCCAAAAGCGGGAGGCTTTAAGCCGACGGCAGCCAGCAGGACACGCGGGTGCTCAGTGTCAGGGGACAGTTAAAGCAGTTTCCAGCCTTTCTGGGCAAGTGCAGGGGGGAGACGCTTGGTGTACAGACTGTGAGCGCGGGTTCCAGCTGAGCGTGGAGCCTCGCTCAGACTTTCAAGAAACTTGGACTAGTTTTTACCTTCCTTGGAAAGCAGCGTTTGGTCTGCTGAGAACGGCAACTCCCTCTCTTGCTTCCCTTGATAGGAAAAAATTAAAAATTAAAAGTCCTGGGGTGCTCTAGGGGCCTGAGGGCCTTTGCTACAAACACCCTGCTCTCGCCCAACCCTCAGGGTGGGGGCGTGCAAGGGGTGTACAGGCAATAACCAGGCAGGAACCTGCACTCTCCCGCTGTGTGCTCATCTTCTGCGCTCCTGGCAGGTCGCAGGCAGCTCGCAGGCAGGGTGCAGGCAGGTCGCAGGCAGCGCTGCCGGGGCTGGGGAGCACGGTCAGCTGCGGCGGGGGGACATGCCAGGGTCTGTGTCGGGCTGAAAGCGCGGCCAGCGGGGCGATGAGGAGCCGGGCAGAGCTGGCTGCTCGGTGTGCGAGGGGAAAGGCCACGCACAGACCTGAGAATCTGCCCCTCGGAGCAGAGGCACTGTCAGGCGGGTGGGGATGCTGACTGGGACGCGCCGCTTCAGGATGCGGTAACTAGACCCAGCCTTATCCTGAAAATAAATTCTCTCCGTACCCACAGTGCCAGACGAGGGCTGATGGCAGGTAAGCAAGAGATGGAGCCTTTTGGAGGGTGGCAGTGCCTTCCCAGCCTCTCCGGGCACTGCCGCCGGGTGCTGCCTCGCCGCCGGGAGCCCTCTGGGGCAGCGCTGGGAGCTGAGCTGGAACCTGAGTTAATCCACTCCGGCAGAAACTTGCCAGTTGCCACAACATCTGCAGCAGCCACGGGGCCCCGCAGCCAGCTCGGCTGTGGCTGGTGCCTGCACTGGTAGTGCAGCCAGAAATGGGGGGAAATCAGGGGTTTAAAGGTTGTCCCTGGGTGATGTTTTGCAGTTCAGCCTGACAGTCGGGCAGGAGAGCCCCTAGAAAGGGTCCAGGTTGGTCAGAAAGAGTTAACACACGGGGCTCAGAGGAAGAAGCTTCATCTATTATTATTTATTCCCTTTTTTCACACTTTTTTTTTTTTTTAAAAACCAAACCAAACGGGCCCTCCAACCGTGGCGACTCTGATTTGGGGCACTTGCTGATGGCAGCACAGCACGACGTGCCCCGTCCCTCCCCGCCACAGCTCAGGAGACATTTGTTCTCATTCGGAAAAGCTGCGCCCATTTCCCGCTGCCAAGACAGGGATGACGGCAGCTCCTTCCCACCCGTGGTACCTTCCTGACTTTCCTTAACGCTCACAAACCCTGCACAGCCCCGAACCTCCCGCACACCCAGGCGCCAGCAGTGGAGATGGTGGCAAAAGGCGCGGGCAGCTCGCTGGGGACGAGCCGGAGTGTGCCGGAAAATCCCCGCCCAATCCGGGTGCAATCCTGTGGGCTGGCAGGGCCCCAGCTCCCTGCCCGCAGCCCCCCGGCACGCCGCGGCCCTTGGGCAGAGCACACCGAGGTGGAAGTGAGCATTTACAGAAACGGGCAATGGGAGTGCGAGTGACAAGGCTGGCAATGGGCTGTGACCGTGACACACGACGGCCCGGTGCCTACACGGGGACAAGTGATTGAATGTCAGCAAACAGAACCTGATGAAATTCATGCTCCTGATAAAAGATGACTGCACAAACAACATCTGTGGCATTTTCCTGATGGTGGCTGCAGGCTGGCTGCGCGGAAGGAAATCAGGAAGACAGTTGGAATTGAAGCCAACTGGAAAAAATCTGTTGGGCCAGTCAATATTTTGGCAGACTCAGCCTGTCAGACGCTGTCAGCGTTGATCCACCATGGGAGGGGGAACGTTTTGCTGGGGCCTTCTGAAAACCAAAGGAGAGGTAGAAGGGGATTTGTGAACGTGGGATGGTGAGGGCTCAGCTCCCACAGCGGGAACTTCCTGACAGAAATGAGGGAAGAAATCCTGCCTGGGACATGCTGGTGTTCCCTGCCTTGGATCTCACTGCCCTGTCAAAGCAGAATTTATTCTCCTGTCAAATCTGCCCCTTCAAAAACTGGAGATGGCTTCTGGAGATAAAAAGTTTCACAGTAAGAAAAAAAATTTGCCCGTGACAGTAAATTCAGAGGGATTTTTGGTGCATAGCCTGGCCATGCCGTGCAGCTGGGCTGTGGCGAGGTCTTGTTGCACTGTGTTCTCCTCCACAACGGTCCCTGTGACGCGTGTGTACACACACTTGTGTTCTGCAGCCCCTTTTTGGGGAAAAGGACTGAGTTCAGTGTTTTCACCCCTTGCGAGTGCTGGCGGGCAATGCTGCCCCTGGGAAAGCCCGGGCAGGAGCAGGGGGAGCCACCCTGCCTGGGGCTGCACCAGCATCACCAGGCTCCAGCACTGGCGGGGGCCGAGGAAAGCAGCAGCGATCCTGGGAGAGCCCCTAAAAAGCTGCGGGGGCTCAGGGACACGGCTGGGGCCCCGGCAGCCCCAGGGTGGGGACAGCAGCCCCAGGGTGGGGACAGCCCGGCCGCCCCAGGACAAGGTGCTCCCCGGCCGGGCTCTGATCTCTCGCCCCCGAGCAGATCAAGGCAGTGTCCTCATCGTCCCCGGGGCGCGGGCAAGGCCCGCTCCTCGCTTCTGCCGCAGCCCCCGGCCTGCCTCGGCTGCTGGGTGGTTTATCGACCCACATTTGCCTCCCATTATTAAAAGAAAGCTTTTTCAATAAACAATCGATTCCTAACGGAACACTGATACTCATCTGTCAGAGGCAACGGGTCCCACAGGGCGGGATTCTGTGGCCAGACCCAGCACGGGCATGTCGGATGGATTTTTTTTAATGCATTGGTCAATAAACTTCCATTTTCTGCGGAAGAATAAGCAGCCCAACTTGCTGTTTACAGGCTACAGAGCCTTGGAAGTACTTGTGTAGCTTATGCTGATGTCTGGGGAGAACTGATTAAAGTTTGCTTACAGTAGGATGGGGGACTTCAGAAAATATTTCCATGTAATAATACAGAAAATTATTTGAGGTTTTGCCAGTCTCCCGCAGTGAGGGAAAAGCACGCCTATCTGCTTCAGACATTGCTAAACCAGATGTGCTGCTCTTGGTATTCTGGTCTCTCAATATGCTGGTTTAAATTACGGATTTCAATTATCATTTGGAAATGAACTTCCAGTTTTGTAATTGCTGTCACAAGTCGCACAGATGTCCTCGCTGGATTCACAAGATGAAAACACAGCGTTTCTGGTTCAGCTGTGCTCCCTTCAGTCTGCATAGTAATTGCCAAACTGCCACTTCTGATAAGGATTTGCAGAGTCACAGGCGTTTACCCTCAGGGCTTTGTGAGAAGGATCCACTTCCAAGCACGCCGGCTGCGGGAGGTGCTCCCAGACGATGTGGTCGGTCTGCAGGGAGAGAGAGAGGGCTTTAGGTAGGCTGAGGCTTTAGGAACCGCGCAGCAGCAGCTCTGGTTTGTCACTGAGAAAGCTTCATTCTTTATGGTGTGACCCTTTTTTTTTGCATTTTCCTAAACTTAAGATCTTTTTGCTGACTTACAGAGACTTTTGGGTGTGCCCCAAAGCCTGTGCCTGTTGCTGAGCCAAGATCCTACCACACCTTCTGTGCTCTGTGGCGTTCTGCTCACTGGAAATGGGAAGGTTAGTTCCCCGCTGTCCGAGCGGTGATTACCGTGCAAAGGCAGTCGCTCCAGATGGTACCTGCTATACAGGGGAACGTACACCCGGAGGAAAAACAAACCCTCCTATTTTGGAGTTTCTGGGCTGATTAACTCAAAGCCCGTGTACTGTGCTGAAAAGGATGTTAGATAATTCAGCAGTGAAGTTCAAACGCTGGGCCAGTAAGGCAGATAATGAAAGAACGAAGAATTATCTCCATCCTTCTGCTTTTCACATCTGCTTGGCTTTACCTGCAGAACTCACGTGGCCAGCGAGGGGACGCTGCAAGTGCCACCAAAGGTGGGGGCCCTCTGCGTGTCCCTGCCAAGCACTGCAGCATTTCTTGTGACCGGTTGGTTAACACCTGGATTAAACACTCCTGAAACGACGCGCAGAGCATTGTCTGGGCAAGAGTTGGATCTCTGTGCATGTAGAAAACGCACTTCGCATCCCTAACCCAACGCGGTGATGCTGACAGCGGAAGGCAAAGCATCGCAGCTCCTCCGGGCAGCACTTGCCAGCCATCGAGCTGCTCTGCACCACGCCTGTGGCTGGCACCAGCGAGGGCCAACACAACCCACCGAGCGAGGCTGGAGCAGTGGTGCTGGCCGGACACCGAACCCCCCAGCTCACGCCTTGGGGTGAGCCCCGGCTGAGCAGGTGACAAAAACTGCCCATGCCCTGATGGTGCTGTCCGGGCTCCCAAGGGGGGGGCAGTTTTCATGTATTTCTCACAAACATTCTGGCCTTTCTGAGCCCCGGTGCTCTGGCTTTCAAAATTATTTTGTTTCGGACTAAAGAGGAATAGGAGCTTGTCAATAAGATGAATGTATAACTTAGCTATATTTTTTCTTTCTTAAATGAAGTGCAATTCTTTCTTAAAGCATCCAATTTCACAGCATTTTGGACAACTACTTACACCAGGCTGACAGAGATGCAGTCATGACGCTTTTGCTTTTTGCAAGAGTAATAAATGTAAGTCCCCATTCTTTTCCTAAACGCTCCCTTTTAAAGCCCGCTGCAAGCCAAATGCCGATCGATACCAAGTCGTCTCCATCTAAGTGCTATCGACGGTGTCGGGCCGAGGCAGCCCACCGGTGGGGTGTGCGTCCCTGCCCCCGGGGACCCACGCGGTGCCAACGCGGCTTTGGCAAAGCCGGGGCCAGGGGTCAGGGAAGGGCACCAGGGCCCTGCTGGCACCAGCACCGGCATCGCAGCTTCACTCACCAGCTC